CTACCACTTGAGCCACAGCGCCACCTCCGGCTTTGTTCTTTTTCCTTATGTGGTGCTGAGGAATTGAACCCAGGGCCTCATACATGCAAGGCAAGTGCTATACCACTGAGCCGCCTTCCCAGCCCATTAAAAGCAATAATTTTAAAGCGCATCAACCTCTTGATCCGACCAATAACTCTTTCTAAATTCCTTCCCAACAATGGACCCACGAACCATGTATTAGAGATGTTTTATGATTTTCCCGCGGTGTGTGTTGAGTTGTCAAGGAATGATATGATGAGTACAAAGCCCCAGCCTTCCCTAAAGAGTGTATAAAACGACTGCAAACCCCAGGCTCGGGCCTCTCAGCGTCACCAGTTGTTTGTTGTGTGCGCAGAGGACCCAGCTAGCTAGCAATAAATACCTCGTGGTGATTACATCGATCTTGGTCTCTGGTGGTCTTTTTGGGCATCCCGAACTCAAGCATTATACCAGTCCCTGGCCTGCTGTTGCTATTGTTTTTGAAAGAATAAATGTAGTTCCTCTCTAAAAAGATATTGGAGGTAAAACATATTGATAAGTTTATTTAAAGGAACATACCTGATAAAACTCAGGCAGCAGCTTCTCATACACAGCCTGGGTGCATGGAGCAACTGAAAAATGGATATTTTTGCCTTGGCGTCCTCAAACTCCTCCTGTAGGTTGGATTTCACAAACTTGGACAACAAAAGTCAAAAGCATTCATGAGATGTCAATAATGTGCCAATTATTTTGCTAAATACTAAAAGATGAAACACATATGGTGTGTTGAATCCTCAAGGAAAACTACAGAGTAGGGACTTGGGCATTAAATCCATCTAAGGTGGGAAGAACCACGAAAGATACAGGAAGAGGGGAATTACATAAGATTAAAGCCTGTTTAAATACTGAGGCAAGGACAAGTAAAGAACCTTGACACTTAGGAGTGTGTGTGTGTATGCGTGGGTGCGTGCGTGCTTGCGCGCGTGTGTGTGTGTGTGTGTGTGTTGGTCCTATGGCTTGAAGTCAGGGCCTGGGTGCTGTCCCTGAGCTGCTTTTCCTCAAGGCTAGACTCTAACACTTGACCATAGCAACTCTTTTGCCTTTTTTTTTAAATTTTTTTTTGGGGGGGTCCGGTTGTGGGATCTGAACTCTGGGCCTGGGTGCTGTCCCTCAGGTCTTCAGCTCAAGGCTAGTGCTCTACCACTTGAGCCACAGCACCACTTCCAGTTTTTTTTTCTTTTTGCTTATGTGGTGCTGAGGAATCTAACCCAGGGCTTCATGCGTGCAAGGCAAAGGCTCTACCACTGAGCTACCTTCCCAGCCCTCTTTTGCCTTCTGTGTTGTTTTTTGGAGATAAGAGCCTCAGGCTGGCTTTGAGTCTTGATCACCTGTTCTCAGCTTCCTGAGTAGCTAGGATTACAGGGGTGAGACAGATGTGCCTGGCTTGCGTTTATTATTTTTATAACAGTTTATTCATTTTCTATATTAGGACTGTGGAGAGTTAATACTGGATATGACAGACTGTTGTATCAGTGAGTTAGTATTTTAGATTATCCAAGTAAAGACACAAATACAAAATGAGGAAGTGTCGCTGAAATGTTTCTTGGGACACTATTTAGGAATACTGTTTATTTGAAATGTTATCTATCATTAATGACAGATGTGAAGAATTCAGAGCTCTGATTGAAAGGCAAGAATTTGTTGCTGAGGACCAGTCTGCTAGAATTTTCTATGCCTTCAAAACTATAATAGGAATTTCTAACCTTTGCCTAGCTGGATTCAGGTAGGCTCTGGATTCCTTTGTATGTTACCTCTCCCTTTTGAACAAAAACAATAAGTATTTCCACAGTGCTCATATAATCATTACATATTGGATGAGTTTGGGACAGGTGGACTTTTTTTTTTTTACTCTGTAGCTTCACAGATTTATATACAAAGATTCTATAATAAGAGAACAATGCTTAAGTAGTCCCATCCACATTTACACCTCGTTAAAATGTTAAGATTCTGTGGGCTAGAGGTGGAGATCATTTTCGTAGCATGTAAGAGGCCCTTAATTCAGTACCCAGCACTAGGAAAAATAGACTCTGAACTTTGAGGAAACTTTTGGAGACACTGCTATTTCATATAGCAGAGGGATGACATTACTTTGATTGGGAACATACAACCTTTGTGTCTTCCTTGGTTAGCATTTTCTTATGTGGCATTTGCTATCTTTCAGAGGCAGCCTGTGGGCACGTTTGTCCCCAGTGCCACTGCCACCCAGTTTGGTGATGTGTCAAAGGCCTCCTCCAGCTCTTATCACCTTAGTCCTTTCTAGACCATTAATGCTGGCTGAACACTTTTTGGTTTTCTCACCAATGCCTGGCACATAGACTGGATTAGCACCGATTTTGTATTAGACTGTCCCTCAATTTTTCAGCCCTAGTTTAAAATGTTTCTTGCAGACAGATGCTATGAAGTTAATTCCGTTAGTAATATCCAACATTGTGCTGACACACTTTATGTATTCAAAGGTATTTTTTAATTCTTTGTTTACTTAAGCTGCTCCTGGGACTTGAACTCAGGGACTAGGCATTGCCCTTGAGCTTTTGTGTTCATGGCTGCCACTCTGCCACTTGAGTCATAACACCACTTCCAGCTTGTTGGTGGTTAATTGGAGATATGGGGCTCCCAAACGTTCCTTCCTGGGCTAGTTTGAGGCTGGATCCTCAGAGCTCAGCCTCCTGAGTAGGTAGGATTATAGGCATGAGTCACTAGGGCCCAGCCTCAAAAGATTTTAAAATGAGTGAGTAAAATGTATCTATGAGTGAGCCAGCCATATTAGGACCTAGGTTCTAGAAATATGGAGAAAAACAAATAAGAGAAACATCAACAAACCCCACAACAAGAAAAGAAATGCAAAAGAAAAAAAAGATTTTCAAAGAGCTTTTCTACATAGGCAACATCTTAGTACTCTCTGATAATGACAGTGTAAATGTCAGAGAAAGAAGGACTTTTATATAATTACTGCCAAAGCACTTGGATTAGAGGAAGAGTTCCTATTTGTTGCCTATTAAGCATTTAATTTTTGAATGAAATGCGTGGAAGTTAAAATGATATTTAATGCTTTCCCTAAAGTGACCCATGATTTATTGAACTAGTGAGAAAGGGTTACTGCTTCCTTGCCCATATGTGTGTCGTGTGTGGGAAATTGCTCTTTTATTCAAACAATGATTTGATTTCTGACAAAAGATAGACACATTTTTTTATTTGGTTCCTCTTTCTCTACACAATAATAAGACTGTGAGGGAACTAAGACGGTGATGTGCAAGTGTCACTTAGAAGCAGCGTGCTCAGGAGGCTGAGAACAGAAGATCCCAGTTCAATGCCAGCCTTGGCAGGAAAGTTCCCAAGACTTATATCTCTAGTCAGTCAACAGAAAACTGGATCATGAGTCAAAGTGACAGAGTGGTATCCTTGATGGAAAAAGCTCAGGGTCAGTATCCAGGCCGTGACTTCAAGCCCCATGACCGAAAAAACAAAAAACAAAAACAAAGAAACTTCTCACTTAGAAAATTCTAATTTGGGATATGCCTAAAGGACCCAGAATAGTAGGATTGTGAGTTCAAATCATCCATTCCCAGTAATCAGCCCCCTTCTCAGATCACCTCAATGCTCAGGGTCTCCTCAGCATTTTTCTTTCCATTTATACGTGCAACTCTTCTAAGTTCCTCTAAGCCCTTTTCTAGCTGATTGCTGAAAACCAGCCACCGAGCAGACTCTACCAGCATCCTGAAAAAGAAGACAACACAGCTACAGTAAACATCTAACTGCTTATTTTACACATAACTTTAATCTGAAATATCTTTTCCTCTCCATTTCATATAGACTTTGTACACCATAGTAGAGTCATTTCTGATTAAATCTGCCTTCTCTGGTGGACTTACAGGAAGGGTATCTAAGTGTTTGTTTGTTGAAATTATAGACAACAAGGAGGAATGAACAAATACTCTGAGTATCCATTCACATTCCAATGGTTAATATCCCTATATGATCTACGTGGCATATAATTAATCTCTGTAGTGGGTTTTTTTCAGTGATTTTATACACAGTAAAATTCTACACACTGGGAATTGGTGCTCAGACTTCTAATTATATCTACTCAGGAGGCTGAGATCTAAGGATCACACTTTGAAGCCAGTCTGGGCAACAAAGTCCATGAAAATTTTATTCCATGGACTGATCAAAAACCAGAAGGAAAGTTGTTGGCTGAAGTCATAGAGTTTGCTCATTTTATCACTTTTGTTCAAAACTAAAAATGTACAAAGCATTAAGGATTGAAGAAGTCAACGAAAGATGGGAAGACCTCTCTTGTTTATATACTACTGAAACTTTCTACTGATTCAATACAGCCCCCATCAGAATTCTAGTGACATGCCTTGTGTAAATAGAAAAGGCAATGTTAAAACTGATAGATAAGTGCAACAGACTCTGCCGAGTCAAAGCATTCCTGGACAAAAAAAGCAATGCTGGAGGTATCACAATATTTGGCTTCAAATTGTGCTACAAAGCCAGAGTAATGAATCATCATGGTACTGGAAGAAAAAAAAAAGATACGTATTCCAATGGAATAGAATATAAGCCCTAGAAATAATCCACAGACTGGCATATTATTACTCAAAAAGAAAAACAAAATTATGTTCTTTATAGCAAAGTGGAAGGAACTGGAGATCATCGAGTTAAGTGAAAAAAGCCAGACTCTAAAAGACACATATCATATACTCTTGTCGGCAAATCTGGACTTAAATATATTTTATATGATATGGCACCTGTATGTTATGACTGTAAAAGGCACCCATTTGCTGGGGAGCCATAGGAACACAGGGAGATTGAAGTCAGTAGTTGATGAGGGTGGAGTGCAAATATAATTTCATTCTGTAAAAAACAGCACAGTTAAGCTTGTTAAACTAATTAAAATTATTTTTTAAAAAAGAGGGGAAGATGGCATAAGAAAAGCGAATAGAAGGTGTGAGTATGTTCAAAGTACATTATTTACATGCGTGAAAATAGCTCCCTGAGACCCCTCTTATTCCAAGCAACATATGCTTAAAAGGAAAGAAAAAAAGATTCCATAATAATTCTGTGGTTAAGATAGAAAAGTGCTCACTCCACAGCTGCAGCCTCCTGGCAGAGTACATTCTGTTCTCCTTTGTATCTCAGTAGCACAGTGGTGACTGTGGGTGAGGTGACAGGATCATTCAGAGATTACACAGATCTCAAGTGTCAGGTCCTCCCTCTAAGCCTCTATGTCCCCTTTCATTGGAGTTAAAGGCCACACATATTGTCCATACCTTGATAACACGCAGCAGACCAACAGAGGTATGGATAATATCAGCTGCAGTGTGATCCAGCTGCGAAAGAAAAAAGCCAGTCCTCCCAGGAGCATCTGCCCAGTACTGTAGGAAGTCAACATTGCTACCATAGCTTGGGATTGAGGTCTTGTCCACTCTATAACTGGAAGAAAACACAGTTGTAATTATAGTTGTGTGGTTATAATTATTTTTTGCAAATCATGTTTTCAAGACATTTCTAGTCAAGAAGGAAATTAAAGGATCAAATGGCTTACTTACTGAGATAAGAAGAGTTTGCTAAAATAGGCACGACAGATAACCCAGCTAAGAATCGCAGGGAACAGTAAACAAGGAAGGTGGGAGCAAAGGCTGCACAGGTGTCACCGATGGCCATTTGGAATAAACACCACCTGAAGATGGTTTTCCGCCCAAACCTAAGAAATATTGGACTATGTGAGATTATTCAAGACCAAAAACAATAACACTAAAAACAGAAAAAGATATCACATCATGAAATTTAAGGTAGATACTGAATCCTTCTATAAAGATTAGGTATCATCCATTTGAAATATGCTATTCTTTAAATAAATATTAAATATTAATCAATGCTAAATATTATTTCTACATTATACTTGAAATTTGTTGGAATTTCTATATTAGCCAACAGCTGAAATGGAAGAAGCTGAGCAATTTGCCAATGAATGTGATGTCCACACTTTCTCAGTGAGGACACGCAAAGTCACCATAAGAACTCTGGTGCCATGTCAAGCCATATAAAAAAGAAGATAACATATGAGACTTTGTCAGAAGTGTTCATTAGTAGACCCATATTTGGGTTGACAGGTTTGTGTGTTATGCTTAGAGTCCTGAGGAGTGAAATCAAGAAAGTTCTGCTATCTTTATTAGTGTCTGTGCACTGTCAAGGTGGAAGTCCAACTTGTTTGACAGACAGAATGGGAAGACAATCCATCAATGTTTCAGATAGATAGCTAACAACCTCTCTCAGCTGTGTCTGGCTTCTTGTGCCTTGGAAAGTCTGTTTCATCATGAACAGTAGACAACTCAGAAACCTCCTCTCCCTTCAGGAGTGGATAGAAAGTTCACAGAAGAGAGAATAAGGCTCAAAGAAGATTTAAACCATCTAAATAGACCCATATCAAGCAATGAAACAATAAGAGATCTCCCATACAAGAAAAGCCCATGACCAGATGGATTCACAGTTGAATTCTATAAGGCCTTCAAAGCAGAACTGACACCAGTATTCCTCAAACTTTTCTATGAAATTGAAAGCAAATGTTCACTCCTAAACTCATTCTACGAAGCCAGCATAACCCTCAATCCCAAAACCAAACAAGGACTTATCAGAAAAAGAGAGAGAGAGAGAGAGAGAGAGAACTAGAAATCTATTTTTGATGAACATCGATGCAGAACTTCTCAACAAAATTCTGGCCAATCACTTCAACAAGTCATCAAAAAACATACATAATGAGCAAACAGTGTTTACTCCAGGGATGCAAAGCTGGTTCAATATTTCCAAGACAATTGTTGTAATCATCATATCAATAGAAGTAAGGTCAAGAACCACATGATCATTTCAATAGATGCAGGAACCTCAAAAAAAAAACCCAAACTTCCAAGAATCAACAATGAATTAATAAATGGGCAAAAGAACTGAAGAGAGACTTCCCAAAAGGAGTACAAAATAGCCAGGTGCTGGTGGCTGTAGTCCTACCTATTCAGGAGGCTGATATATGAGGATCATGGGCAGAAAAGATCGGTAGACTGTGAGATCCAATTAACCATCCATTCCCCCACCCCCCAAAAAAAACCCAGGAAGTAGATTTGTGGCTCAAAGTGGTAGAGTGCTACCGATGAGCAGAAGAACTCAGAGACAGCACTAAGGCCCTAGGTTCAAAGTCCATGGTTGACACCTCTCCCCCACAAAAAAGAAAAGAACTACAAATGGCCAATCAATACATAAAGAAACACTGCCTATCTCTGGTGACAAAGAAATGGTCATTGAAACAACACTGGAATTCACCTCACTCTAGGCAGAATAGTCATCATCAAAAACGTAAGCAAGTAATGGAGGCAAGGATTTTGGGGGAAATCACACATTTTTTATACACTACATTTGGACCATAAACAAATGTGAGCACTGGAAAAGAACAGTATAGATGTTCTTTAACAAACTGCAAAAAAAACTACCATGCAATCTAGTGCTACCACTCTTGGACATTTATTCAGAATGATGTATATGAGATTATTATGAAGGCCCCTATATGCTCATATTCATGGAAGCAGTACTCACAAGGGTCAGGCTATCAATACTACTCACAGGCCATGAATGGATCAAGAAAATGTATGTATCATGAATGTTATTAAGCTAAGAAAAAGAATGAAATTACATCATTTCAGAGAAATTGATGGAACTGGAGATCATCATATGAAATGAAGTAAGCCAGGTTTAAGAGTACAAAGTTCACATGTTTTCTCCCATATGTACATGCAAGACCTAAAATAAGCATATATAAACACATATAAGATACACATGTTACATATAATAATTATATTTATCTAAATTATATAATTATAATTATATAATTTAGTTAAATATAGAATTTCATTGGCTGCTTCAGCCAATAAAAAACCTTCCTTATTCAAAGCATATAAATACCCTTGTGTGAAAAATAAAAATTAGCAACTTGATCAGAACCCCTGTCTTGCTGTCATTCTTCGTGTCTCTTGTCTCTTCATTCCTTCTCGCTTAGGTTCATTGCCCTCATTGAAGTCCTGCGGGTCGGGACAACTAGCGCCCAATGTGGGGCACGAGCCTCTGACTAAGGAAGGAACGCAGTCCTCCGGGAAAACTTGGCCAAGTACAGTCCGAGATCGCCTCGACAGACCCCCACCCACTATGGGAGAAGCAATTCGTCACATGATCTATTTCTGTCAGACCTCAAGGAGGCATTGAAGACTCGGGGAATGCGGGTTAAGAAAAAGGATTTAGAATTATTTTTCTCATTCATAGAGGACGTGTGTCCTTGGTTCCCCTTTGAAGGAATCATAGATGCAAAAAGATGGCAAAGAGTAGGAGATTGTTTAGCAGATTATTATGAAATCTTTCGTTTGGAAAAGGTTCCAGCTACCGCCTTTTCCTATTGGAATTTGATTAATGAAGTTTTAAAATGTCCTCTATTTGATAGTGTAATTTTAAAACTTGTAAAAATGGGAGAGGAGGTTCTCCAACATGCCTCTCGGCCCCCCGCGGCTTGCCCATCCGTTGTATTAGATATGCCCGCTGGTCAATTTACTGAAAATCCCTTCATTTTGTGGCCCGGCCCTTCAAGGGCCCACTGACCCTCCAGATCCAGATGTTTTTTCTCTCCCCCTTTACCTAACCTGGCCCCTTTACAAGAGTGTCCCAACCTGCAGGACTTCAAACGAGGGCGGTGAACCTAAGCGAGAAGGAATGAAGGGACAAGAGACACGAAGAAGGACAGCAAGACAAGGATTCTGATCAAGCTGCCAATTTTTATTTTTCACACAGGGGTATTTATATGCTTGGAATAAGGAAGCTTTTTCATTGGCCGAAGCAGCTGCAGGGTGCTTGCTTAGGGCAAGGTGAAAAGGTGGTCCTTAGTAGCTGCAGGGTGTTTACTTGGGGCAAGGTGAAAAGGTGGGATTCTGTAAACTCAGCCTCAAGATGTTGCAGTGAGATAGTTGGCTCCCAACACACGAGGCCCTTCAACATAGGCAAGAACACCTCCAACTTTTAAAAGAACTGCGGTCCGTGATTATGAACGCCGCATACTGGCCTTGGTCGATATGCCAAAACCACCTGATAAAATTAAGGTTAGATCACACCATCAATCAGTTCTCACCTTTCCAGTAACTCGGAGCCCGACAGATAGGGCCTCAGAGGGTGAAGAGGACGAATCAGAAGAGGAGGAAAAGGAAGATGAGGAACAGGATACTGGGGATGAAGAGGAACAACCCACCCAGAGAAAAGGCCAACAAGAGTATAAGAGGCTTAGCCTCCGGTTTGTTGAAAAGCTTAAAAATGCATGTGCCCAATATGGCCCGACTGCCCCTTATACGTTAGCCTTGTTAGAAAACCAAAGTGCGCGCTGGCTCACCCCTAATGATTGGAAGTTCCTGGCCCATGCCACCCTTAGTGGGGGTGATTTTGTTTTATGGAATGTGGACTTTAAGGAACAATGTAGAGAGACCGCGCAAAAAAATTTGGCTAAAACATCTTCAAAAACCTGGACCTATACTAAACTTTTGGGTAATGCGCCCTTTGATACCAATGCTAAAAAGGCGCGCTTTCCTACCAGACTTTTGGCACAAATTCAAAACGCTGGCCTTCATGCTTAGAAGCGCCTCCCTCAAAAGGGAGCTACTACTTCCCTGGCAAAAGTTAGACAGTGGTCAGATGAACCCTACAGTGACTTAGTCTCGTGGCTTAACTTGGCTGCAGAAAGTAAACAACCTGGTCACTTCGCACTTGAATGTCCCTTAGGCAAACAAAGCCAAGGGGCAATACCCTCCCAAGCTACATGTAGACCACTCCCTGCCACTCTTTGACTTTTAGATCAAGAACAAGCAGCCCCAAGGTGGCTGCCAGAATGCTTGATAAAACAGGTGAATGGCTTATCACAACCCAGGGGAAACCTTCCCCCACCCCCCCAGGATGTTGCCTTTTCTCTTACTCTTACAGATGCAGCCAGAACTCCAGATGTGGACCTCCCTGTTTGAATTGATTAAATAACAGATTAATCTCTTGGCTTCTAAGCCCATACAGGTTCATCACCATCGCCTTGATATGGCAGACCAAGGCATTGAGATCTAGGATTTACCCTAGGCTTTTAATTAGTGTTTCGCCATGAGCTTGTTCCAGTGGGAACCCCCCCCCCACTTCCTTTTTCTTATTCAGAAAACCCTTCTCCTTATTCATAACTCCTGACCACTCAACAGGCAAGACCTATTGCGCCCTTGCCATAAGGGATAGGTTTGTCCCTCCTCCTATAGGCCCCTCCGCTTGGGGGAGGATGCACCTATGGGAGGAAGAAAAAATGCTCAAGTCAAGGGTTCAGGTAAGACTGCAGGTGGATGGATCCGGGAGATCCCCAAACCCAAGACCCCTGAGTGGCAAGCTCTGGTGCATGACGGTTGGCATGCATACCCACAATCCGTCTCCTCAAAAAACATGCCAGGGCCTGTAAAATTCCCCTCCCCGAGTGAGGACGCTCGCTCAGGAGCGGAGAAAAACCCTGGGCCCTTAGAGGAACAGAGCCTCTGTCACCCCCTTAAAAAGAGCAGCCAACAATTGATGGTCAATTTTCTAAATAAGAAAGGGGGAGAGGTTGGGAGCCAACTATCTCACTGGAACATCTTGAGGCTGTTTCACCTTCTCACCCTGCCCTAAGTAACGGCCACCTTTTCACCTTGCCCTAAGCAAGCACCCTGCAGCTGCTTCAGCCAATGAAAAAGCTTCCTTATTCCAAGCATATAAATACCCTTGTGTGAAAAATAAAAATCGGCAGCTTGATCAGAATCCTTGTCTTGCTGTCATTCTTCGTGTCTCTTGTCCCTTCATTCCTTCTCGCTTAGGTTCACTGCCCTCTTGATGTCCTGTGGGTTGGGACATCACACCAGCTTTTTACAGGTTCATTGGAGGTAAGTGTCTATGGACTTTCCTTCTCAGGCTGGGGTACAACTTTGATCCTCAAATCTCAGTCTCCTGAGTAGCTAGGAGTATGAGTCACCATACCTGGCTTTCAGTGTCTTTCTTTTGGGTTTTATAGCTTTCATTCTAGAGGTCTTTAACTTCTTTGGTCAAGTTTAATCCTAAGTATTTTAGTTTGAGAAAGCCATTGAGAATGAAATTGTTCTCTTGACTTTTTTGTAGATGGTTTGTTGTTGTTATATAGAAAAGATATTCACTTTTTATTTTGTTGATTGTGAATACATCAGTTCATCAGATCCCACTATTCTCTAAGTTTGTACAATACAAATTAAAATTTCTCTAAATGTCTTCTAAAAGATACTTTTCTGCTGAGTGCTGGACTACTATGTAAAGCACAAAGTTAGAGCTCAGCTGAGATTTCTTAACTACAGAAAAGCCTATACCATCTGATCAACATCCACAGAGAAAGTGAAATGACACCTACCTGTCTGAAAGATGGCCAAATATCAGACCTCCCAGCAGTGACCCAATCATAAATACTACTTGAACTATAGATTTGGATGACTGGTACTCACATACTAGGTCCCACTGGAAGAGAAAGGAAGAGAGAGCGGTGTCAGGAGAGTTGAAGCCTTCAGTGGAAACAGACTGTAAGCGCCTTCCCGTGAGGGAAAATGTGCTGTGGTATGTGGACCCTGCTTCCTGTCCATTTCCTCTACAGCCACTCTCCTCTGCCAGTCCACACACCTTCAAATACTCAGCTCCTTTCAACTCTTCAGGTTCTGTCTCCGTCTTCAAAGTTTCCATGGCCTTATCTCTCTATTCTTCTCCTCAGATGACCAACTCCATCTGTTGCATGCATTAGCTTCTACACACATTCTGTGTGTGTGTGTGTGTGTGTGTGTGTGTGTGTGTTTGTGTGTCCATCCTGGAACTTGAAGTCAGGGTGGGACCTGGGTGCTGTCCCTGAGTTTTTTGGTTCTCTTTTTCTCTAGTCTACTGCTTTTCACTTGAACCACATGCTTTTCAGGTTTTCTTATGGAATTGCCTGGCCTGGATGACTTTGAACCAGCATGCACAGATCTTAGAATCCTGCGTAGACAGGATTATAGGCATAAGCTACCACCACCTGGTTCTATGCATTCCTTTGTCAAAATTTTATTTCCTCAGCATTTATGTATGTATGTATGTATGTATGTATGTATGTATGTATGTATGTATGTATGTATCTTGTTGTTCTTGGGGGGCCGGGGCACTCTCCCTGACTTCTTTTGCTCAAGGGTAGCACTCTACAGCTTTGAGTCACAACACCACTTCTGGTCTTCTATTGGTTAAATAAGGATAAGAGTCTCACAGACTTTCCTGATGAACCATGATCCTCAGATCTCAGCCTCCTGAGTAGCTAGGATTACAGTGCTGAGCCACCAGCACATATATTCTTTAGTTACCATAATTTATAGCATAGAAAGGAGTATTTTAAAGACAATTGAGTTACCATAATGGAGAGTACATGACAAAAACTCTTCTTTTTCTCCCCCTGCTTTCACTATATTTGATGTTAGTACAATTTGTGGAGGGGAAGGGCAACAACAAATCGTTTAACTAGGGATACAGGTGGACCCATTGCAACAATGAGATGTACAAGTCGTTATGTTGAAAAACGAACTTTACAACTTTGGTAGCGGGTGGGGGGGGGAGGAATCAGGTCCGGGGTGGTGGGGGGAGTATGGGATGGGATGGGAAGGGGAAACAAAGAGGAGGCAACAATGTTTGATAGGAGGTGTACTGGTTATCTTGCCCATGTAATTGTAACTCCTGTGTATGGTATTCTTACAATGAAAAAAACAAACTTCTTTTTTTCCCTAGGAAGAAAGGTTTCCTTTATACTTGGACTAATACAAAGTCTTGATTGATTTCTTTTACCACTGAATAATTCAACTGAGAAAATAACTCTCATCTGGATACCCATTCATTCAGTTAAAAAGCATACAAATGCTGGGGACTAGATTTATGCCCCAAAGGTTCTGACTAACTTGCTCTGGGTAATAATTCATAATAAGTATTGAGAGCCACTGACCTAGCATAATATTTTCCTTCATGGTATTTCCGTTGTTCTTTAAAATTACAACTGTCTTTCTCATTAGAGCAAATTATTTAATAACAGGTGTCTGTTTAGATTGTTTCATTCATGACCTCAGTACTAGTAACTCATCATCGTGGTAGTATAGATGAGCAGTTGCTACTTGCTGAAGGAATAGGAAATACAAATTGCTGACTAATATACTCTGGGGAGAGAGCGGGGATTGGATATATAAAGCAAGTCTGTGCTTTGTATTACTGCAAAAACCTTAGAGCTGACACACAGAAGGTTTAAATGGGGCCCCTTACCTCAGTGACAATAGTGGAATGGAAGTAGCTTTTGTCATACACCCAGCCGTCCACACAGGGCTCTGTTTCTGCCTCACTCAGGTTCCAGAAGGTGCTGTTCAGGTGGAGGAGCTGCCATTGGGGATGGACAAAGCGCCGGCACTTCTCTGGCCTGAGGTTGGAGTCGAGTGGGATGGAGATTCTCAGGAGGTCCTCCTGGCTGAGGAGCCCAGTGCCATTGTCAGAGAGTGTGCCATTGTCGAGGATGCGCACCCAGCAGCGGTGCTCAGGCACGGCTGCCGTGAAGTTCTCTAATAGAACGTGGGGATATGCTATAAGAATAATGATAAAAAAACAAAGTAGCTGAAGGATCTGGAATCTTCCTAGGACTCCAACATGCTCCAGTAGGACCTCGAAACCCATTGGGACTGAACACAAAGTCTCCCCCAAGGGGAATGTAGTGCTGCTATGAGATATATTGAGAGGGGAACACGTTTCACTCCACTAGCCCAGCAGTGCTGCACTTGTCCCAACTCACTGTCTTCTCATTGGGCCCTGTCTCACCACTCTATTCACCAGGAATTTCCTGGTCCTGTGGGTTTGGGCAGCTACATGGCTTTAATAGTTACTGATAGTTAATAGTTTTGTTGTTTCCCGGAATAACTGTGATCTTTGTACTTCTTATTTAATTTACTGCTTTCATAACCTAAAAGGCATGTGTCCAATGGTCTTGTTTTTTTTTTTTTTTTTTTTGCTGATCATGGGACCTGAACTCTGGGCCTGGGTGCTGTCCCTCAGCTCTTCAGCTCAAAGCGAGTGCTCTACCACTGGAGCCACAGAGCCACTTCTGGCTTTTTCTGCTTATGTGGTGCTGAGGAATCGAACCTAGGGCTTCATGCATGCGAGGCAAGCACTCTACCACTGAGCCACCTTCCCAGCCCTGGTCTTGTTTTTTTTCCCCTTCTTCAGAAGAGGGACTCTGGACACTCCGAAATTAACTGGTTTATTATGTTTCTATGCAAAGAATGGAGCAGAGTGGAATTTTCCCTTAAGAAATGAAAGATGTGGTTAGTTAAATGCAAAGCAAAGTTGAATGTTGAATATTAATGCTAACTTTTTGTGAGTTTTTAAATTGTTCTAGTAATGGTGCTTTTATGACATTTGAAATAGGGAAATAAGGATAGAGAAAAGGGAGGAAACAAATAATGTATGTGTGTGTATGTTGGTCCCTTGGCTCTGATTTTACTGTTTCTCCCTAGGCTCCCTTAATATACCAGGCTTCAGTGAGGCTTCTTATACCATCTATGTATAAAGACACAATGTAGCCTCTGTTATTCAACCTCCCTCATTCTTTCCCTCCTCTTTCCTTCATCTACACAAGTAGTCCCATAGTTAGAATTTTAATCTATGCCTCTCTCTCTCTCTCTCTACTTTCATCTCTGTGTATCTATTTATGTGTCTTTCTATATATTGATTCCACAGTGAGCAAAAAATATGATATTTGGATTTGTGAGTTTGGCTCACCCTGCAGGCTGGTCTCTACAGAACCATCTATTTTCCTGAAAATGCCACAATTTCATTTTCCTATATTACTGAGTACTATTCCATGATATGTTTGGACCATATTGCCACATCTATCCATTGTTCACTGGCACCTCAGCTGATTCCAATTTGGCTTTATGAACATGACTACAATAAATGTGGGTATGTAGGTATCTCTTCTATATTGATTTGCAGGTCTTTGGATACATGCGCAAGAGTAGTTAGCATGTTCATAAGATCTATTTTTAGTTTGGTGAGGAATCTCTGCCTTGATTTCCATAGTAATTGCTCTAGTTTAGAGTCCCACTAATAGTATAGGAGAGTTCCTCTCCCTCCCCATCCTCATCAGCAATGTTGTCTGTCTTTTTGATGATTTCAGCCCCACTGAAGTGAGACAGAATCTTTGTGTGTGTTTTTGTTTTTGTTTCTGTTTTTTGGGGTCCAGTCGTGGGGCCTGAACTCTGGGCCTGGGCACTATCCCTCAGATCTTCAGCTCGATGCTAGTGCTCTACCACTTGAGCCATAGTGCTACTTCCGGCTTTTTTCTTTTTTCTTATGTGGTGCTAAGGAATGGAACCCAGGGCCTCAGGCATGCAAGGCAAGCGCTCTACCACTGAGCCACCTTCCCAGCCCTTTGTGTGGTTTTGATTTGCAATTCTTTTTTGACTGAGGATTTTGTTCAAATTACTTGTCCATTTATAAATTGCATTATTTGTTCCTTTACTGTATATATTTTTGAGCTCTATGTGTAACCTTGACATGTTATCTTTATCTGTTGCATAGCTTGTCAGTATTTCCCCCCTTACTGTCAGTTGTCTCTTGTGTGTTGTAAACACAGTGCACAAAGTGTTTTTTTTTTGGTGTTTTCTTTTTTGATATTGGATTTGAAATTCTGACCTTATACTTGCCATGCCAGCACTCTACCACTTGATCCACACTCCTAGATATTTTTCCTTTATTTATTTTCCAAATAAGGTCTCACATTTATGTCTGAGCCAGCTAAGACCACGGTCCTTTTCATGCTCCCCATGATTCTTAGATGCACAACCATGCCTATCTTTGGGTAGTGAAAGACCTTAGTCCCCTAGGATACTTTCGTCAATGGGAGGGCGCCCCAGAAACTCAGACTCCAGGCTGGGAGATGCAACAAACAAGAGGAGTTTATTTGGCGTTTGCGCAAACGGACTCCCTGCCTCGGGAAGGGAGAGAGTCCTGAGCAGCGGTTACAGGCATTTTTAAAGCAAAGACCTCAAGATTAACACAAGGCATTCCGGGATTGGCCCGTTTAAAGGTCACCATATACCCTAGCAATCATTTTTTACGCGGGAAATTTTGTAACACTCTTTGTAAAATGACTGGCGTGGGGGGGGGGAATTCAAGGGGGGGTTACTTTGGACAATAAGGGTTAGGGGAGTTCACATAGTTACAGGCTTGTGATTGGTTGGCATTTGGTCTAGTTTGCTGGTCCTGCCAGCTGGTCATTATCTCAAGGTCCTGTCTGGGGAATTTCTAAATGGCAACTGTCTGTTCTTTATCTATGACCACTGACCTTGTCCTGGGGCCGACATCTGGGCTCTGAGACTTTACCCAATTCCTTATTTCGAGGGAGGGGGTTGGTGTTAGTGCAAGCAAGTTTACAAAAGCAAAATCAGTAGTTAGCAATGGTAAAATATAACTCTAATTTTTAATCTTTCAGTAGTTATGATCATGTCTCACCAAACTTTTGCTTAGGCTGACCTCTAACTGTGATCCTCTATATTTGAGTAGCTAGGATTGCAGGTCTTAAATACCATGACTACATTGCAACTGTTTTTTAAAGATATCTGTGCCAGGTGCCAGTGGCTCATGCCTGCAATCTTAGCTGATACTCAGAAGGCTGAGATCTGAGGTCCTGGTTCAAGCCAGCACAGACAGGAAACTCTGTGAGACTCTTAACTCCAATAAATTACTCAAAAAAAAGCCAGAAGTGACACTATGGCTCAAGTCGAGCACTTGCCTTGAGTGAAAGAAGCTCAGAGACAGTGCCCAAGCCCTGAGTTCAAGTCCCATTATCGGTAAAAAAGAAGGAAAGCAAGAAAACAAAAGGAAGGAAGAAAAGAATGAAAAAGGAAAAATGTGTGCATGTGTAAAATAATGGTTGTAAAACCATTAATAATGAATATAAAGAAATGCAAGATTGAAGGACTGGGAAGGTGGCTCAGTGTCTAAGTAGAGCGCTTGCTTTGCATGCCTGAGGCCCTGGGTTTGATTCCTCAGCACCACATAAGAAAAAAGAAAGAAGCCGGAAGTGGTGTTGTGGCTCAAGTGGTAGAGCGCTAGCCTTGAGCTGAAGAGCTGAGGGACAGTGCCCAGGCCTAGAGTTCAGGCCCCATGACCACACCCAAAAAAAAAAAAAAAGAAATGCAAGATTGAAGTTTTCACGTCTATCTTCACCAAAAGTGTTGCTCTTTTTGTGTTGTGTTCTTATAAAGTTTTGCTATCTAAATAATATATCATATAATGGGCTGGTAGCTCATTATCTTCCTGTTTTATGGAAGGGACATTGCTATTAGCTCTTTAGAGGCTGGCAGTGAACCTGTACAATTTGCGGGACTTCTTTTTGCTTATAGAGTATTCCTGTTGTAATCTCATTGGTTTTTACACATCTGTTTAAGGTGTGTATACTCTTATTTCATTTTTTGGCAGGCCATGGACATCTATGAATTTATTCATTTGTTCTAGATTTTCTAATCAGAATATAATTTCCCAAAAGATTTCCCAATGGTCTCCTTGGTGATAATACTTTATATTTTGTCAGTTGTGGGGCTTAAACTCAGGGCCTGGGCATTGCCTCTGAGCTCTTTTGTTCAAGGCTAGTGCTCTAACTTTGAGCAATTTCACTTTTTTTTTGAGTGGTTAACTGGAAATAAGAATCTCATAGGGAGTTTTCTGCCTGAGCTGGCTTCCAACTATGATCCTCGAGTCTCAGCCTCCTGAGGAGCTAATATTAGAGACGTGAGCCACCACCAGCTCCTGGAAAATATTTTCTTTTAAGGCATGGAATGGGAGGTTTATAGATTGAGATGGAATACACATGTTGAGAAATCTACCACTTCCCTCTGCTTCCTAATGATCAGGGAGTCATTTATCACTATGTGTACAAATTATATCTCATGTTAATGGTTGTAGCCACAAGATGGATTGATACCCTGTTTTCTGCATATACCTGTAGTGACTTCCCTTGTACTGAACTAAATAAATAAGCTTGCTTATGGGAGCTCAGGGTTCCATAGCTAGTGAGCACTGTTACACCCCAGCCCACCCCCATTTCCCTGTCTTTCTATTTTCTCTCTTTCTTTTCTCATTTCTTCTGTGGATCCAGTATCCTGTCCCAGGTTGTGGGTAACAATAATTGATCATGCAACCTTTGGCCACTCCCACTTTTCAATATATGTCACTAACCATGACCCAGGATACTGAGCCTAAGAACAGAGAAAGAAGGAAGGATAGGAAGCGGGGAGCTGGGGGGGGGGGCAGGTGTGCACTATGTGATTCAGAGCTCACTGCCAGCTTCTGTATCCCAAAATCCCATTAACAAGCCTGTTTATTTAGTTCAGTACAGAGGAGGTGACTACAGGAAGGTGCACAGACTAGGGTATCAATCCATTTTTGAAGTTACATACAACCATCTATAATGCCCGGAGACTTGGAGCACCCGAAAAGACCACCAGGGACCATAGATCAATGCAAGAGGCAATGAGTCGTTTATTGAGGACCCCTCTGTGCACTGATGTCCGAGTTCAGAGAGAGGCCCCCAGCACAGGGTTACAGCACTTTTTTTATGTTCTTTGGTAGGGGTAAGGCCTCAGTATGTATTGGCAACGAATCAATACACCACGCTGGAAATTTAAATCATAATTCTAGCGGATGATTGGTGCAATACAAAGCGGGAAAAGGGCTGGGGCTAATAACTGGTCAGGCTAGCGAGCTATTGTGCTCTAACTAATTAGATGGTACTTAGGGTAACTTAGGAGAAGTGATTGC